ATCCATTGCTACCCTTCATCCATTTTGACACTTTGAAATGCAGCTAGTCCAGGCATGGTCACCCAAACCCTCAGGTTCTTGTTATTGGTTTATATCTTAATCTTATTTCTGCTGCTTCTGCTTTATGTTTTGTATCTTTCAGCTACATCCCATTGCCCACACAGTAAATTCAATCACCTTAACCTGACTTTTGTTCCACATAATAGACTCTGGAATTACTTCTTCAGCCCCATCCAATCCAGATTTTTTCACTACCATAGTGATATTTCCTGTTTTCCTCTTTCCTCTTCTTTCATGCTTTCCCTCAATGGCAACATGTTGCCTGTAGTCTCTGTCAAAATGACGACCCTTAAAGCACACCTCAAATACCTACCTTGTTCAAGAAATTCAAGTCCTTGACAGGCCATATAATCATCCCTTTTTTAAGATGGTACAAAACATTTTGCTTCCATCTCTCTCTTTTAGTCTATCCTACTTTCCTTTGAATTAGTCATTCATATAATCATTCTATTCTTTCATGACTATGGAGTCATTCATATATTTGTCTTAGTGCCACAAACAAATTAGGCTGAAAATTGCTTTGAGTGACTGTGCCTTGCTATCCCTGTGGCTTACAGGAAGTGGGTTGTTTGTAAATACATTTGTCCTCTCATTTGCTTGTTTATTTGGAGTGGATCCATGGCATTGTAACCTTGGATTAATAATGAAACCAGCTCTTTAAAAGCCATCTCTACTTGCAAGGGAAGAAGGGAGCCAGCGCTGACAGTTGGTTCATGAAGTGTAGAAAATGGGTCTCAGTAACCAACAGGTGACCCAGTGACATTCAGTTTTACCTTATCGCTGGTTTTTGTTGGGTATAATTTAGGAAGAAATGCAAGTTCGAAGGAACTCAGATGAAAAGTTATTTAGAATTTTTAAAAAACATCTTGAAAGACCTATTCTTTCTGTAGTAAAAATCAGATGACCAGGATAATTTGTATATTTCGGGAGTATACACAGTACTTCAAGATATTCACAGTTGACTGTAGACAGTATTAGCTTTTTCAGGAAATTCTAGAAATTTATAAGAATAGGCATAATACTAAATTAGTATCCTTAAGGTAAGATAATTCTAGACCTACCCTTTACAAACATAAGATTTTCGTTTCTAGGTGGTTTGCCTAATGATTTTTAGAACTATACTTATAAAAATAATACTTACACAAGTTTCAGAGGAGAAAAAGTTTAATGGTAGGTTTCTGTTCTCAAAAGAAAATTGCTCATTTTGTAGAAACTGTAGATTGGCACCTATGGGGAAGAGCAAAAAAGCACACTAAAAATGGGGAAAATCTGAGAAGTGAATAATAAAGCAGATTAAAAATTATAAGGTTACTACTTACTCATTTTAGAAAACACTGTATTGTAAAGTTTCTGCTATATTATAGATTCTTAAAAGAAAAGGATAATAATTGCTCATTTATTTTTAAAAGGAACAAAAGAAGATATTTAACAATTGGGAGATTAGTTTACTTAACTCTCACTCTGAAATCAATAATGTAGACTAGATATTCAAAAAAAATCCACTTGTGACTGGAGGTAAGAATGGTAGAGAACTTGCCTAACAAACTCAAGGCCCTGAATTCAAACCCCAGCATTCCTTTAAAAAAAAAAACCAAAAACAAAAACTATGGCATGTCTAGAGGCACTTAGTGTTCCTGGAGGGAACTCTCCATGGCTTTGTGAAATTCAGTATGTGTCAGACCATTTTAATTTATTTTCATGACAGAAAGACAGGAGGAATTATAGCTTGGAGACAAGCAGAAGAGTCCATTTATCTGTCTTTTACTCAGGTTTCCAATTCTGTCATATACGTGATGCCCAGCAGCCAGCTAGCAAAATAAGTTGAGCAACATGCTTTCCAAATTGCCTGCCCTGGAGCATATGAAAACTCTTAAATACAATAATACATTCTTGTCTAGAGAATTATCTTTCTAAAAGTGTTAAAATTCTTTTGAAAGGAACATGAATTTACAGTTATCTATGATTATTATAGTATTAATATACATGCAAATTTTATATGTGTATAAGTATAAAATCCATCCAATCTTGCTATGCCCCAGGCCATGGTTGCAGGTGTAGAATGATTAAGGCATTGTTCTTGGCATCAAGGAATAAGTCAAGTCAAGTAAAAGAGTTGATTGTTCTAGAACAATTCTGGTACAGAACCATCTGAAGACTTTCAGCAGTTTAGCCAGAAGGCCACTCATTTTTCTAAATCAGTGGCTCTCAAACCATCACTGTGGGACATTTTAAAACAGCTTCCTAGTCCCCTTCCCAAAGACTGAATATGGATCCTCAAATGGATCTATCTTTTTGAAGGACTTTCCTGATGATCCTAATGTATCCCAGGATTCAGAGATATATTAGAATATTGTGTCATAGGACATAGGGCCAGGTTCTGCAAATATAATGACAACTCTACCTGCTCATTAAAGTGATAGTTTACAAGGGTTTTTCCCTGCAGAGCATTAATTCCTCACTTAACAGTATTTACTGAGTGAGTGACACTGTTGTAGGTACTTGGGGTAATTAAGCAAAGCAGATAAAGTTTGCCCTTGAGAACCTGGTAGTCAAGGCATCAGGCATTAATTAAATAATGACCCAAATTGTAACATAATCTTAAACTGTGATTGATACTCTGAAAATGCAACAAAGGGCACTATGGGAAGATAAAGAGCAGGTGGGAGAAATCTGAATTGAAGATTAACAGGAAGAGTTTCCAGAGAAAGAGAGTATATAGTTCAGTTTTAACCAATAAGTAAGAGTTAAATAGAGCCCACCAGGAAAAATAGGCAGCAAAATGCTCTAGATATTGTCAGAGTCTCCATTATCCTCAAGACCCTTTTGATGGATGGAGTTTAGGACAGGGGCACACATCTGGAGGAACAGGGCATATCTCAGTTCCACTTGTTCTCTTCGCCAAGCACTCACTGGATGATTCTGTGCCTAGTATTTTTCATGGCATTGTGCCTTTGCAACTTCATGCCTTAAGTACAGGCCAGAGACAAGAAGAAGATCTAGGCTGCACAAGAGGGCTATGCTTGGCCTTAACTCCCCTTTGAAGACGTGAAAAGGCTTTGAGCCAGAAAACAACGTAACCCAACTTCAAGTATGAGATTTGATTCTTAAGGATGAAGCTGCCACAGGAAGCTGGAGGAGAGAAAATGGTGGTTGGCTGGTGCAGAGGAGTTGGAAACAGGGGGACTAATATAAGGATGCCTTTGGAGAATCAATTCATAGGTCTCAGCAATTGACCGGATGTGAGAGTTAAGAGGGAAAAAAATCATCAAAGGAATTTTCCGAGAAGAATGAGGTCATAATATTCATTGCGTACATTTGAAAATGAAACCAGAAAAGAGGGAATGGATAGGTTTGTGGGGAGAGAAGGGGAGAGAGGGAGGAGAATGCTTAAAAAGGGCGAGAGTGATCAAGATACATTGTACTCATAAACTGACATGTTGAAACCTTTTGTCCAACTACCTAAAGATAATTTGTTTTAACAGAAATAGTTTCCTAGGTTTCTCTCACTTGTGCAACTGAGGACATTTACTGAGATAAAAAATACTGGTGAGTCTTTCCGTTTTCTAAAAATGGGGCAATGTCATTCTTTCTGATGGAGGCATAGAATTCCATTGTGTATATATACCACATTTTCTTGATCCATTCATTTACTGAGGGGATCTGGGTTGGTTCCATATCTTAGCTAAAGTAAATAATGCTGCAATAAACATAGTTGTGCTGGTAGCTTTACTATGGTCTTGTTTGTGATCATTTGGATAAATGCCCAAAAGTGGGATTGCTGGATCATAGGGGAGCTCAAAGTGGAGTCTTTTGAGGAACCGAAATGGAAGGACTTGAAAACAATTATATTAAGTGAAGTAAGCCAGGCCCAAAGAAACATAGGTCCCATGGATTCCCTTATTTGCAATAATTAGTATATGTCTGAGACAAGCAGAAATGGTCAGATAAGTTGATGTTAGGCAAAATGAACCCCAAGATAAGGACTCAAATGTATTTTCTTTCTTGCTATTGTTTCTAACATATTTATAAGATGATTTCTTTGTTGCTTTGTATGTCCCTCCCCCATGGTATAACCCCTGTTTTCACTGTATTTGATGTTGGTATAATTTGTGGAGGGGAAGGGAAAAAACAAATTGTTTAAATAGGGATACAGGTGGACCCATTGCAACAATGAGATGTACAAGACAGGAACTTTACAACTTTGGCATGGGGGCGGAGAGGAGATGGGAAGGGATGATAAGGGGAAACAAAGGAGGAGGCAACAATCCTTGATAGGAAATGCATTCATTACCTTGCTCATGTAATTGTAACCCCTCTGTACAGTATTTTCACAATAAAAAATACTGGTGAGGAAAATGCTCATGAGTGTGCAAGCATGCTCACACATGCATACACCCACCCCCACCACACACACACACACACACACACACACACATACCTCACTAGGAGATGAGAGAAGGCTGTTCTTCTTTTATAGCATTCTCTTCTAGGAAAATGGAAAATAAAGATTTTTCTAGCAGCAAATAAAAAAGTTCAACCTGAAGACTTAGGACATCATCCTGGTTTCCACTTTGTCTTAAAAAAATAAGTAAAAAAAAAAGTCTACCAAAAAGTACAATGCTAATCCTTTATTACCTTTAACTTTTGTTCTTAGACCATTGCATTAGATGGCCAATTACTAGAATATCTAGAAAGTTGAACCCCAGGTATCTCTATTGCCTAAAGAAGTTCACAAACCAAAGCTGCTCTTAGGAAATGGTTTATTGTTGCTACTTAAGAGAAGAAAAAAAACACACCAAAAACATTCTCCTGATAGAAGGCTAAATCAGACTCAATCAGCCTGGTATCTGTTGGCCATCCTCAAGGAATCTGGCCTTGTGTCTACATTTTGCCACATTTAACAGAAAATGAAAGATTCCAGGAACCAAAATGTCTGCAAATTCGTTGAAACTGAATTTTATTTGAGCTTCAACCATACAAATATCTGTACACAATATTACATATTATACAACTTTGCAATGTTCTACTCCCACCCCATCCGTTCTTTCCTTGGCGTATCAATTTCACAAGAATTCCCCAGGCAGCATCACCTCACAGAAAGTATGGTGTGGCGTAGAAGTGTGCCCTGCCTCCCAGAGGGATGAGTAGTGTAGGGGTGTATTTAGAGTCTGGAAATATTCAGTTGTTACTAATTTCTTAGCCTATTTAGTTCACATTGAAATAAAAAATATATATACAATATCCTCAAAACACATTTCCATAAAAGAAATAATAAAATAATATTATTAGAAAGCAAGTTAGTCACTGTAGTTTTTGAATTATAAGGAGTTTCCATTTCACAATCAATGTGTAATCCTGAGTTGTTATGGTTTGTGATAAAATCACAAGTATAGGCCCATATAAACTTCTAATCCCACTCTGCTGCACTGAAATTGTATGTGCATAGCAAAGAAGTATGGTCATACTTCCCTAATAACTCCCCCATACAGACCTCCATTCTTTTCCGACACTTTTGCTGTAAATATTTTGAATGTGCTTGATCTATTTCTGCCATTTGTCCGACACCTCAAAGTGCCTGATAATATCCTAATGAATTTCTGGACTTTTTCAGAAGCAGAGGGACTGGTAACTCTATCTGCACATGGATGATCTATTTTCATGTGAGCTTAATTAATAGTACATATGAAACTCCAAATGTCACAATCCAGGAGTTAAAATTTTTAATTAATTTACTGATTCATTTAACTTATTCTAAAATGGAATTTGAATTAATTTGGATATTAAAGGCTCTTAAAATAAGTTCATTTTTTAAGATGAAGAAACATCTTGAAATCTCTCCATTATTTTAGTGAGTGACTGGTAATAATATGAAAATGCTGCAAATAATACATAGTCTCAACATTACAAGTTGATCTACCAACTTGCAAAGGAGAGTTGGATTGCTGAGTTATGTCATCTGGTCATGAAGTCCAAGCTGCTTTTTGATGAAATTCGAGATTAGGAGCTGAGGCCGTTGCTGGTACTCCACCAATACATCATGGGACAAGTTGATCTGGTCAGAGTGGAGTCTGTCAAGAAGTGTCACACAGACCACGGCAGCTGGTAGAACAAGTAATAGGATTACTAAAGCGAATCATACGAATATTAGCTTAAAGCACCAACATGTGTAGCACATACATTTTGTGCAATTTTCCCTCTAATGCATAATCTTGAGAGCCCCTGGCCTTATATAACATGCATATTTCTATGAAACTCTACCAAACATTGAGATAATTAGATAATTAGATTATGATAAGAAGATTACAATCACCCCCTCTTTCTCCCTTTCCTCCACACTTGGTTAGATTCAGACTCAGGCAAGCACTGTGTTCAATGTTAGAATGAGAGACCCAACTTCCAGCTTGTAGTCTATTTTTAGCTCTTGGAGAAGGCTCTTCCAAATGAGAGTCTACCTTATTCCAGAGGTAGCATTTTACTCCTTGGTGCTGTGCCTGAAATTGCCTACTGCAAGACCTACTTAAGAGTAACATAAATAAAGAAGAGATATGGAATGTTGACCCAGGAAATACCAATTAAGTTAAGCATTGACCGTGAAATTTGAAAAGAAAGACCCAATAGGTAATGTACCAACATATAAATTAGTTTTATGGAAGAACAAACATACTTATAAAAGAATAAGAATAATATCCTATGATAGATAAGAAGGTAGGAGGAGGAGAACAAAAATCTCTTCAAAATTCTTACTTTTGAAGTTAACATAGAGCAGCATTTTTGGCTGATTACATCAGGAAAGATTGAGAGAAAAATTGAGTACCGTATCAATTCTTTACTATACATTCCCCATCAAGTCTTTGAGCCACAAAGTATGGCTACCTGTATTGGAAACCACTGGCAAGCACTTTAAATTGATTACAATACAAAACTCTTCATCTGCCCCTGAATTGTTTTTGGAAGGCAGTCAGTGCAAATAGAATTAGGTGTGTTTATATTAACAAACTCTGAAGGTAGTGTAACATTTGTTCTTGACCTTCTACTGCTTCAGACTTCTTTAGAAGATCTGTATTTTTAAATTGTACTGTAAGGCTATTAGCAAAGGCTGTCGAGTTTTACTTTTAATTGATGAATAATAATTATATATATTTAAGGGGTACAGATTGACATTTTGACATGTGAACACGGTAGAAAACTAACATATCAATCACCTCAAATGCTTACCTTTTTAGATAAAAAAATCCCTAGTTTTTAGGGATTATGAGATAAGAGTTTTAATGGCTATAGTCACCATGTTGAGTAACAAATACCTAGATGTTTTTCCATCTAACTAAAATGTACCCTTTCTCTAATATCTCCTCATTTGTCACATTGTAGTTTTAATTTGCATTTCCTTAAAGACTAGTGAGGTTGAGCATTTTTATAGGCATCTGTTGGGCATTTGTATATTGTTGTGAGAAAGGTCTATGCAGGTTTGTTGTCTGTGTTTTGTTTTGTTGTTTTTTTTTTAAATCAGGCCATTTGTTTGCCTCCTATTAAGTTGCACGAATTCCTTATATATTTTAGCACATTAAAAACCTTTTGTGTAAAGTATGGAGTTTGCAAATATTTTTCTACCTGTTTGTAATACCTTTTCTCTTTGGTTTATCCTGCTATATACCAGACATCTATGATATCTGATTCATATAGATATGGCATGAGCTAGTATTATTTTTGCTCTGTTTTGACAGATGATGAAATGAAGGTTTAGAAAGTTCAAATAGATGGCCATTCTGATGCAGCTGGTAAATAAGTAGCCAATGAATTCCCAGCTTCCTAAACTGCTGAGTTCTGTCTGCATTCCTCCACTCCCAAGCCGTTTGGTTGCATTTACTGTTGCCCTGGCCTATCGACCAAACTGACCTTGCATGTTCAGTGACGTGAACAGATAGGAAACTATTCAACATCAGCTGAAGCAAATATTTCATCACCCAGGACTCTATTTACTCAAAATTCACTTGATTGTAAAACAACTTGGCTGAACAGGTAAAGGAATAAATGCAAGAGCTAGAAACTTCCCCCCAGCATTTCTAGTTAATGATCAGCAAGTCTGTGAGGCCTGACAGAGGCTGGCAAGAGCTAGCAAAAGGTTGAAAGTCCCTTTCTAACCCTTCCCTTGGCAGAACGATGAAAGGAAAGAACGCTCTGTATTCTGCCCAGAGCAGGAGCCGTCTTTGCTAAAAGTCTCTTCTGGAATTCAAGGGTAGTACCAAAGATGGGAAAGAACAGGTAATAGCCTTCTCAGTGATGTTTTCTTGACCCCGAAGAGCCCATTAACAAACAGCATATAATAATCTTGTCTCTGAAAATTACTATTTCCATGACCAATTAAAAGGGACTAATTACCCAAAACAATTTGTCAAAATTAAGCCTGACAGCTTTTTGCTACCATAATCCTCAGATTAGGTATGGAGGCTGGCTCCTGGGGCAGGAGGGACTCTTAGTGACCCAGCTGTCACTCAGGATGTTGTCAGCTAACTGAGCTGAGGATGGAATGTAATGAGAACCAGAGAGCAGAGCACAGGGCTTACTGTACCCAGAGCCGTACCAGGAGGCTCCACCGAGATTCTCAGCCCTTTGGCCTCATTCATGGCTCCTTTGAGGAGCTAATGAAAGTTGTCATTAGAACCCGTCCACACAAAAATCACATATTCCTCTACATACAAAATGTTTGTTCACACTTTCAGAGCCCAGTCCCCAAAGCCCTTACGTCAAAACTTAGGACTCCATAAGGCCCTGGGGACCAATAGTTTAACCCCATTTCTCTAGAAAAACCTTCTGGAAAGGTTTTCCCTTGCACTGGGTATAGATACTGCAGCTGGACCACAATGCCCATGCTTACAGCCAAACAGGCTGGCCTTTGGAAAATGTGAAAATAACACAGATTGACACTGGGGCTCCTGGCCTTGGCTTTTCTATCTGCTCCTCTTCTTCTACCTCTTTCTGGATGTTTTTATATCTCCCACAGTTCTCTTGTTTCTCCAGGGTTGGAGTATATAATGTGAGTATTTGTTCATTACTGTCTAATAAAGGAAAGATAGAAATAATTGTTTAATCAACAACCAAGAGCCTTTGTACTTCCTTAGCTTCCCTAAGACATTACTCTCAGGCTGTTTGTAACTAATCACAATCCAGGTGAAGACAATTTGTATTAAAAGAAGCTGATCAAGCCTACGAACATACAAACAATTTGTTCTTCTAGGTTGGTGTTTCTGAGAATGTGGTCTATTGGTCAGCAGTATCAGAACCAGAGATGGTTAATAATTCTGTCTTTTAGGTTCCATCCAACACAGACAAAACCAGGATGCAGTAAAGGGTGAAGGGTGAGAACAAAAATTATTTGAGTGGTCATTTAAAAAAAACTGCTGCTTTAAACACTTTAAAATCTGTTCCTGGTTTAAATCAAATTACCATAAATGTATATACCTAGACCCTAACTATTTATATCCTCAAAGAAATGCTATAAATTCATTGCTGGAAGCAATGTTTCTTTTTCCTCCTTTTGAGGAATTGTCCTATATATTTTTATAAAAGTGTGATTAAAAACCTTGCATGTTATAATATAGCTGATAATTTTGTTTGTTTTAATATCTGAATGAAATCTTCGTGAAAAATCTCAAATTCTTTCTTTCATTATGTAATAAGGACCAAATATTTCAAAAAGTTTTCATTTCTAATATGGTCTCTGAAAAACTCAGAGTTTAATTTTTTAGATTTAGGATTGTACTCCCATGTGGCTTCTTTGATATAGAGACCTTGTAACCTTCTCTCTTAAATAAATGTCTTATAAATACATTCTTTTTCAACTAATAGCTGCCACTTACACGTTTTTAAATAGTGGTGAGCACAAGTCATCTTTTAATAGAAAAATGCTACCATTTATGGCACAGAATAGTGAAGGAGCAGTGGTCAGGAAGAAGGGAGGACTTCAATTAAAAATATATAAAATCTTACCAAACAAGAAGAAACAAACTGCTTTAAATGCTTTAAAAATAAATGTTGTCTTTGTGAAAATAATAACTAGAGTTGGGATTTTGAATACCACAAATGATAAATGTTTGAGACGATGGGTGTTCTGATTCCCCCATTTGATAACTGTACAAGCTATTCATATCTTAAAACATCAAACTGTACCCATGAATTTTATATAATTATATGTCAATTTTTAAAACACTAAATAGTCAGGCATGTTGTTGTACACCTTTAATCCCAGTACTCAGGAGGCCAAAGCAGGATGGTCTCAAGTTCAAAGATTAGTGTGAAGACCCTATCTCTGAAAACAAAGTAGGAAATGAGTTATTTATCATTGCACTTAAGTTGTTAGACTTAAGGGACAATTCTTTCACAAAACAACAGCTATTTGTGGTGTTGAATATCGGCTTAACATTTCATTCGATTTCAATGCTAACTTCCTGGATATGTTCAGCCTTTAGGGTTTGCTGGATGAAGAAGTACAATTACCTGTTCAGAATACTTAAAACAGAAAAAAAGTCACTGATATTCATGGTGTATACTCTGGTTCTTCTGTCCAGAGACCATAGACCTTGTGTTGTTCATGTCGACAAGACCCAGAACAGCCCATGCATACAGAGCTAACTTCAAAGCCTTGCCCTCCCACCCCTCCACTGAGCAGACAGGGAAGTTATTTAACCTCTCTGAGACACAGTTTCCTTTTCTCTTGAGAGGGTGAAGAGAATTACATCTGGTTGCCTCTGAACTTTTAAAAATAATGTTTCAAAATCCTGATGTATCTCTATTTTAAGCTTAAGAAATAGTCTAACTCCAAACCAACTCTAATCTTTAATTCTTGTAATATCTTTGGGTCTTATCACTGGTCACTGTGCAGTTGCCAGCATCAAATAATCTTTGTGGCTGGGAACAGCAAAAGAATGTAAAAATTGAATTAAAGTCAGCTTTTGTTCCCTTTTGTTGAACAGTTAGAAAGTAATATTATGAAGACCAAATATATCCCCAAAGTAACAAGTATCTGTCAAAAGAAATAAAACTGAATTCTTTCTTTCCCCTAAAGAAAAGCCACTGTGAGTTGCAAACAACTAAAGACATTGAAGAAGATTTAAGCAGAACTTAATCTTAGGTAAATATTAGGTTTCATATATTGCCAGGAAAGCACATGTCAAAAGGCAACATTTGGCTCTAAAAAAATGGATAAAGATGAATACATTTATCACAAGTTCACAGTGCAAGTGGATTATCTTCTTTAACCAGAACGGTAGGGTTTAATTAAAGTAATTTTTGCTTTAAGAGAGGGACAGGTAGATGCATATTAGAAAATGATAGACAAATGCAAATGCACCATGGTTCCACCATGTTATAATTTTGTATTATTATAAGGTGCAGCCTTTTGATATATAATTATTTGGTGAATTACACTGTTTTCCTTTCTCTCTAATCTTTGTTAAAAACAGCATTGGATGCTTCACTCTCTTGTTCTGGATAATGAGATGAGTAGAGTGACAGTGATTTGTGGGTGTTGGTGGCCTACTGCAGGTAGTCTGTCCAACTACCAGGCAACAAGAGTCCAGTTATAGCAGAAGAATCATTTGTATAGACCTAATGATAAAGAGAAATGTTGACCTATTTGGATGGTTAGGAGGCACACATGTTTTTCAGATAATTTCAAACCAGGATGTGAGTGGTGAACAACGGGATTCCATTTTCTATGATCATTTCCAAGGCCAAAAAGAGTCTAGTGGTCATCCTTTTTATTTATTCATTCATTCAGCAAATATTTATTGAATGCCTATGTGGCAGGCATTATTCTAAGCGCTGGGGCTCTACCAATGATAAAAGCCCCTGTTCTTATGATGTTCATATCTTAATGGAGAGAGATAGTAAATATAGGCCTTTACATCAGTTACATGAATTAATATATAAGCTATTGATAAACAAATAAGTACGATAGTCACTGGTGGTTATCGCAGAAGAATGACCTAGTGAGTGGATGAGTTTTTGGAGATTTGACATTAATCGCAAAGGTAAGAAGTGGTCATCATAGTCTTGTACATCTCATTGTTCAGTGGGGGGAAGAGTTGGGGAGGTGGGGGATGGTAGGGGACAAACAAAGGAAGGGTAACAATGCTTTAAAGGAAATGTACTCATTACTTTACTGTTGTAACTGTAACCCCGCTGTACAGCATATTTACAAAAAAAAATTTAAAAAAAAGTAATGAGTACTATATTACTATCTTAAATAAAAATATAGTTTTTCAAAAGTTATTCCTTGTTAGATTTCAAATGTTAAGCATAGCAACTGTAAGAAAAAATTCTTTTTTTAATTATTTAAATATCATATCAAATTAAAAGTGATAATGTACAAAATACCTGAAAAAGAGTGGTCATCAACATGGACCTAAGCCCTCCCTGTGCCAAGTAGATGCAGAAAGATTTGGTTGTGCATTGGTCTGGACTCCTTGTGTGATTCCTCTGAATTACAACTATGGGTGCCCAGAAGACTTATTTACGTAAGTCTTATTTATAAGATGAAATTATCACTATCACCTTGGGAATTCATATTGGCAATCTACTAATCTGGTAGTATTAGAGAGGCAGAGAAATCTCTTCAATAAAGACAGAAAAGACAGCCATCAGAGAAGCCTGGAGAGACAGGACAGAGTGGGCCACCCCTACCAGTGGCAGGAGGTGAGTTGTAGGTGGGGACAGGATTGGGAAGCCAAGCAGCCATGGACAATGGGCTTTTGGTGCCAGGTAGAATCTCCTGTCTCGTGTTGTTTACCATTGGTGTATCCTAACCTCCCCTGTTTGAGTAGCTGTTTGAGAATGGATCCAGCCTTTCCTTCAAGCAGCTCAGAGTAGTTTTTAAATGCATAAAAATCAAAAGGTGCTGCCCCTCCAGGGACAGCATACCAGCAATCTGCTCTGAAAAAGTGGCATCTGTAGGAGATAAGGGGCCCTGGCACCATGAAGACATTTGGACAGGAATATTCCCAAGAGCTACCAAATGAGTTGGAGTTGGAGATGCAGCCATTAGTGTTAGTGTGTGCTTCAGCAGCCCAGAAACGTCTGCTCCATGGAAAAAACTGTACGGGTGGCCTGGGAAAATAGCTCTTTGTAGGCTGAGATCAGTGACCAGCAAAATGTGGAACTACAGAATAGTAAAGCCATCAAGATGAGGACCTGTGGGTGTCAGGGAGCACAAGGTCATGGAAATTGTAGCAAGGTCAGAAATGCTCTTATAACAGAATAGCTGCTCTCAGGTTCCCAAAACATCCTAAAGAGAAAGACTCAGATCAGAGTTCGAAAGCCTCCATGACTGCCAATAGGAAACAGCGGACAGTCACCATACTTACAGCATGTTGATGGCTCATCCTTTTATGTTTCGCTAAATTGGTTACCAGATACTGTTCATTTATATACTAGTTGGAACAGTGGCTAAAGCGATCACTTGTTTTTATAATGAAGGAATCCCTGCAAGCCGTGTGTTCATTGGACTGTTGCTTGAGCAACGTCAAGCTGTCTGTCTCACTCTCACTGATAGAAAAGCCAAAACTACTGTTCTTAAAGAGGGCATCAACTATGACCTTCTAAACAGCAAAAAGGCACCTTTGCTGTTTTTCACCCATATAGTCAGGGATTTGCCTGTACGTATATTCTGAGATGTCAATAATGAAGATAATGGAGCTGAAAGTCATCTCTTCTTATGAGCTGTAGCTTCCTTCAGAAACATACTCTTGAAAATATAACCACATAATTTGGTACTGGCAGCTCATACTTGTAATACTGTATAGAAGGCTAAGATTAGGAGGATTGTAGTTTCAGGCCAGCCTGAAGAGGAACTCCAAAGAGTTGGGCATAATGCCATGTTCCTGTCATCCCTGCTATGGCAGAAGCCTAAAATGCTTGGGTCATGAAACAATCAGCTCAAAAAGGGCTATAGTAAAGCAGTAAAGAGCTCCTCGTATAAACCCCAGTACCTCCAAAAACCTGCTGCTATATGCATTTGATTCTTAATGTGTATATCAGAATTGAATGACTATAAAGAAAAATCCTAGAATTCAAATTCTGACTGTGTTAAAATGAAGTATTATTTGGGCTATACCACTTTTTAACTTTTCTGGAAGTACTGAGGTTTTAATTCAAGGTCTTGTACTTACAAAGCACGCATACCCTTGTTGAGCTACTCCCCTAAGCTCTCTCTTTTGCTTTTATTTGATTTTCAGAGAGAGTATGTTATACTTTTTCTCCAGAGTATGTCCTAAAGCTATAATTCTCCTATCTACATCTTTTGCAAGTAGCTGGATTTTCAGGTCTGTGCCACCATACCCATTTGAGCTGTAATTCTGTATTTCATCTTTGAAGCTTTGCTTCTCTGGATAGCAGAATGCTATACTCCCCTGGTACACTCCCAATATCCTTGACTACTCCTCTTCAGTCTCTTCCAGCTTGGAATGTTAACCTCATTTATGTCAACATTTTCCTGTCATCTCATCCGCTATATGGACTTGAATGAATTTTACAGTTTTACTCCTCCAGTCAAACCTCTCACTAGAACTCCAAGTCCACCTGTGGTGTTACGTCTTCCATTCGGATGTTACTACCTTCAAATCCTCACCTACAATTTCTTTGTCCCAATTATAATAACCTCATACTTCCAGGTAAGTAGCAGTAAACCAGAGAGCCATTCTTTTTTAATATATATTTTTTATTGTAGAGATACTGTACAAAGGGGTTACAGTTACATGAGTAAGGTAATGAGTACCAGGGGGTCATTCTTATCTCCTGCTTCTCTTCCCATACTCTCACCACATCGTCAACAAGCCTTGTTGGCTCTGTCTTTAGAATGTTTCCAGAACCTGACCAGGTCTCCTGACTGCCACTGTTATCAACCTGCCCATTGACTCTCACTGGACTTTTATATTAGGTTTCTCATTCCTCTTCCTGCTTCTGGCCCCAACCCCACTAGCTTCTTCCAGCTCAGCAGTCAGTATGACTGAAATAAAACACGTGTCAAATCTGGTCACTTTTCTATTCAGAGCCTTCCGACAGCTTCCTATTTCCTCAGAGAAAAACCACAGTTCTCACATGACCCACAAAATCTGGACCGCCATCCCCTCATTCTCCTCTCTGTATTCTGGTCTCTGCCCTGTTCCTCCAACACATCCTGCATGCCGCCGCCTCTGGCCTCACATTTACATCCACCAGAATGTGCTTTGCATGTCACTTTTTCTCAAGTGACACTTTCTCCCTCACTCTTTCCTGATCATGCTAATTAAAATTGTGATTGGCAGACTATTTCAGGAATCTCCCATTTGCATCTTGTCTCAATAATTCAATTGTAATAGAAAATCGCAGCTACTACCAGGATGAAGAAAATGGAACTTGCTGACAAGTCCTAGCTACGTTTCTAGCCAGCCAGTGCCTTTCAGCATCTTGTTCTTGACCCCAATGCTACACTTCCCCCTACGCATAGTGGGAGTAATGTGCTGTCCACTCACAAGACATTATGAGGTAGTGTAGATTATCCAACAATTATAAGGCATGCATTCATCCCAGATAATAAATATCCAACCCCCTTTCTCTTCTCCTGAAGCATGAGCCAAATGCATGGATGTCTTACCTTTTAGGCCACAAAGTCCACACATGGCTGCAAACACTGTAGATTCCATTTCGATATTCCTGACACCAGCTTTGTATGCTCTCTTCAAGTAATCTAGCTTTTTTTCTCTAGAAAAAGAACACAGTGCTCCATCTAATCGACCTTGTCCTGAAAGAAGATGGAGAACATTTAGTGGCCTATGTTCGACTTTAGGCTTCCCTAATGTCTGGGGGGACGGAACCAATACAGGTGCTGGGGTGGAGGAGTCGACTGGGCTCAAAGAAGCTCTCAACAATAATGGTGTTTGTACACTGCAGCACTCCATGTGGCCATTGTGACAGAGACGGCCAAATGCAGGCAATTATACATGTACCCCTTCCTCCCTCACACTCACCCCCACGCTAAATGCCATCCCTCTTCACTCATGTCTTCCTACCAGACTGCCTCAATGTTTGTGGATCACTTTATTTCACCTGAGTCCACTTGTGGGGACAGATGGAAATGCAGTAAAGCCAGATACTATTATTCTTCCATCTTGTATGCACCCACGATCACTCCCTAGGAAGACACTATGTGAAGTGGCTCTGTCACCAGCCACTGTTTACATGGTCCTTTTTCGCTCCCTTCCCTCTCTTTTTCTGTCTCCTGTCTCTTTCATGTTGTTTCCTCTCTGACAGTCAATTTCTTCCCCTTCCTTCTTGTCTCTCTAGCACTGCCTGCCAAACCTTGAAGACACTGTTAGTTAAGTTGATTCAAACTCAAGATGTCCCCCAAAACTAAGCAGGTAATGTCAACAGAATCTGCCCAGATTGAAGGGAGTCTGCTCCTAGCTACTCCAGGGCATGTGGACCCTGATGTGGGCCAGAGCTGCCATTATATAATATTTTATAGTTTGATGTTACAAAAATCCCCATATCTGTATGCTTATACGAAATCTCTAGAAATTACAAATGTCAAAATAATTTCCATTTAAAAGACACCACACAGACCAAAGAAAACAGACTCTAATAGGCTGCCATTTACAAGGTTGGTCCTAAACACATGCTGAGTGAGTCTCTAGATCAAGATACTGCAAACCAGTGGCCTATGGTACAGTTATAGACCATGCCAGATTTGAAGCCCCTCCTATTTTATAACAAACTTGGAGTAAAACACCTTGACTAACTTCAGTTAACATATAAATAACACATCCTATTTCCCTGCATAAGTTTTAACAATTCAATATTATAACTCAAGTTTAATTCATAGGAAAACAAGTCATTTATAATGAATTCTAATACAATTTTAATATGAACACAAATGCTTTGCAGAATTTCTTGGATGTCTTCATCAACACAATACCAAGCTTTTATAGATTCTTTCTCCTAGAATGAACAAGATCTGTCTTTGGAGTGTGTTTTGCCTTGCCCCTCACCCCTTAAAGCAAGCACTGTTTCTTCATATTGACCTTCAATTTGTCTCTAGGTAGGGAGAAATTAGGAGATGAGAAATTAATGCTCCACTTTAAGACCACCCTCTTCTTGTGGGACTGATACACACAAACATGCTTCCTAGCCCCCACTTCTATCTGGAGTATCAGTGAACAGCAGAGTTATAGAACCAACATATTTCCCCTCTTCTAGAGCCACCAATTTAAGTTAAAGGCAGAACAGAGATAAGATTTTGTCAACATTACTAATTGCATTTCAGCATTCAATTTGTTCCTAGAGGATTAAACCCACTCTCAATATAAATTCATTCTGTATGTTTCTCTGATATCTATTAGGCTCTTGTATGGCTATAGTTTAGTAAGTTAAAAAGTTGTTTTCATTTCTTTTTTTTAATCCACAACTATTAATTTCCTAAAGCAGAGTTTTTCATATAAATTATGGGTTTGCATAACAAAGAGTTACTGGCATTTTCTGTTGCTTTCATGGTTTAGAAATTATTCTCACCTTCATAAAAATCATAGGTACACATCGTGTGGCCGATGAGGGTTGGGAAGTTGGGAATTTCTTTGCTACAGTTGAATAGCTCTTCTGCCAGTTCCTTGTCAAGTTCAGTACTTCGGGTGACAATGTTGTCCAGAATTACCTGCTCAAACTGGGGCTTGAAGAAGGAGTCTACAGCTGTATCTGTTATTACAATGGAGCCTGGTGCAATCCCTGCAATACAGTAGTAAGTCATCACAGACTATCACTTAGAGTTCCCTTATTTAGAGTGACACATAGTATGTAACCTATTCTGCCAACATTAATTAATACTAGTTGCTAATGATTCTCCATGTTTTTATCTTTAAAATTATTTTCTTTTCCAAATGCAATTAAATAACATGCAGAACAGGCATTTCCATTTGCTGTCTTTCCAGATTCACATTTACAACGTGATGGGGTTTAGATTTCAAGACAAACATGACTCTTGGACATGCAAATTAGTACCAGGCTTCAGGCTCATTTTTGAATAAATTAGGTCAGGAATAAACTAAATGAGCCTGCCAGCAAGTAGCTTTCATAAAGTGATGTGACTACTTGATAGTTAATCTCTGCAGCTCCTTGATTACTATAATTTCTTGGCAGTTCCCTCCTCTCTTCCTTCAGATTCTCATCACATTCGCTCCCTCTCCTCTCCAACTCCATGGAAATTAAGCCTCTCATCTGACCTTCCATTTCTACAAAGTCTGGCTTGCTCAAGGGACTCCTGCTCACTTGAGCAACCAATTTCTGCCCATTCTTATTCTCCCTGCCTGGACTGTGTTTTCATCCTCTCCAACATCTGACAGTCAGGTGTCAGCTTATGTCCTTCCCTGCAGGAGGTATGAATAAAGGAAGGAAGAACAAGAGAATAAACACAAATAAATGAAAAAGCAATGTGGATCATTGTGTTCAGTTGCCCCAGGTTCAGCTGTGACCCACCTTTCAATCCACTCTGACTTCTACTGAGAGCATGAATAAGATGGTTGTCTTGTCCTAACACTGCTCTAGACTCTCTCTATCCTAACACTCATCCTACATTTTACATGCTCATCTGTTACTCTGATAGAACAGAACCTCTGTGAAGACAAGAACAGTACCCACTCACTACTCTTTTCCCAGGTCTAGCATCATACCTACCATATTATGGCATTCCATAAAATCTGAGGGATGAGTAAGTGCTTCCGTAAAGATGTCATCTGGAATGTGTCTGCAAACTATAGACCATAAGCAACAAGCCATCTATCTCAGTAATAAAATTGACTAAGTTTTATTGAAACATAGTCACAAGCATTCATTTGCATACTGACTTTGCTGGTTCTGAGCTATGGTACAGAGTTTAGAAGTTTCAAAACAAAACACATCATCTGCAAAGTCCAAAATAGCTTTATTGGCTAGCACTTCATGAATAAACTTTACCAATCTCTGCTATAGAGCTTAGCCTTATCCTGGATGTATTGAACAATGTAGAGTTAATTGCAGAACACTTAAGAAGGTACTGCCCCTGGAAATAAAACTTTGATGGGTTAGGTACTTTTATGTAAGCTAAACAAGGGGCTTCTTCAATGGCTTACAATGTCCTAAGAATAGGAAAGCAAATGAGAAGGAAGTTGAACATGGGTACAACCAAAATGATGTTATTCACCTGTTATCTTACTATTTAGATACACTAAAGCTATATCACCTTGGTTTCTCAAAGGCAAAAAAATATTTATTCCAGTACCTTTTTTCTTATCAAAGTATGTTTGTTCATTTAAGACACAATCATGTCTGCAAAGAAATAAATGGTGCCTCTCTTCATCTTCAAACACAATGCTGCTTAAAACAAATTAAATGAACCCATCTTATTTATAAGTATAGAGTTCTTAATGGAGCTATAAGTTTTAAAGGAAAATGTTCACACCAGCATTCATAGATTTTCTTTGTGATTTTGGTGCTGTTTAGTTGCAATGAGCATCATATTGTCAAGAAGCAAATGAGCTGGGTGGTCCCTAGTGTCCCTTGTCCTAGCTAGGTACGTAGGAATATCAAGTGGCAACTTCCACAGCCAGAATGGCACAGTCCATAGGTGTGAACTAAGTACGCAGCCCCACGTATCCTACAACCCAAGAATCATGAGCAACATTAACACCAATGGAACCTACTTCATCCTCAGTGTATGATTATTGCTCTTTATTACTAGGAATATTATCAAATTATAATTGATAATGGAAGAAGTTCTGATGTAACTCCAAGAGCTTACATTCTCCCTTTTCCTTTGTTTGGACATCCACAAATATCCTTTCTCTCATGTATGAAGGGCCCTAACTGGACTTTGTTTCTGGATCTCAGCTGTAGAGAGGCCACACTGTTTTGATTCTGCCTGGTTTTAATGAAGTGGGCTTAGCCATCTGGGGCTGTGATATTGGATATGCTATTTCTCTAATTCTTTGAGGATTTTTAAGGTCAGTCTTGCTCCAAAATTCTTCCTCGTGTGATTCTAAAACCATTTTCATCCACAATTCTCATTCCTTTTTATAGCCCATTCAGTCTTGTCAATCAAACCTTTCTATGTGCAATGTCCTGCCTGTATCTTCATGTGATGACATGCAAAAATCATGTCCTGCCTGACAAGACTTCATCAGCTCTGCTTCTTAAGGAAAGGTAGGAAAAAGATGTTTTTTCAGAAGTTTACCTTAGCATAGTCTGGAGCCATAAAGCAGGCCCTTTTATAGTTTGGCTGACAAACCAAGAAAGAAGAAAGGTGAATGGGCTTTGGGGTAACTTTAGGAGGCATCCTTTGACCTTTTCTAAAAGCCATCCCATTGCTATCTGGTAGATTGATGAGAATGACAGACAAGAAAATATTTTCTTAAGAGTTAGAAGGTCTAGTTATTTAGCTAATAAAAGAAGGCAATCTTTGCAAACTTTTTACTTTTAACTTTACATTTAACTTCTGTCACTTACAAGATTGCTAAGACTCAAAATTTACTTCTAGCTAAGAATGGTGGCACATGCTCATAATCCCAGCATTGAGAGAGAGGCTGAGGCAGGGTGATCACTAATTCATAGTAATTGTGGGAGACATAATACATTCAAGGTAGAAGGAAGAGAAAGGAAAGTGGAAGGGGAAAGGAAAGAAAAGGAAGGAAAGAGAAGGGAAGGAATGGGGAAGAGAAAAGAAAAATCTTACTCTCAAAACACATTTTTAGCAATTCTACCCTTCAACATATGAATGTTACTAAGATTGTTGGCAATAGGCACTAGGTTTACATGGAGAAACAAAAAGATGATGATGAGAATATGAATATATTTCCTTAAATTTCCTCAAGTCAAACCGCCAGCTAGATTTCTGTTTGCCTCTGAGTATGTTAGAGTACTTTGAATGAATATAAGGATGCACATAAGAATCACTGAGTTTTAATAGTAAAAATCAAGCCATCTCACCGATTCCCCCTGATGTGCCCATTCTGATAATGGTAACATCACAGCATCGTGCATGGTGTAATAATTTGATGAGTTCATGAAGCATAATAGAAATGGAGGGGATGCCCATACCATGCTGTTGAAAGAAAAGAGAAAGTTATTATACTTCTCACAAATAGATACATGAACAGGACATATTTTCTTCCTTCATTACAAGTTAACAGCCCTGGGATAAATTTACATAATCATTAAGACTTTGCCAGTGCTGAGGAAAACATAAGTCATCTCTAACTGACGCCTACATGACATGCTGATGGATGTATCCATCTGTGAGGATCAGAGAGAGCATCTCACTGCCAGTTAAATGGATCTTCAAGAGCAGAGCTGGGAGGGTGTGGTGTACAGGTGTGTCAGGGTGGTGCTATGAGGCTCTTTACAAGGAGCCTATATAAAGAACTTGTATAATTGCCATGATACTAAAGAAACATAATTTTGGCTGACATATCACCAGTCCTTCTCCACCCTAATACTCGAATACATAAATCCATTTTGTTGTTCTCATGTAGTCTTGATTATTTGCCTCTTAACTCTGGTAAACTCTGAGGGGAGAAATGTGGATTCAATTTCTATGCAAAATGTGAAACTCAAGTTGAATGAGTGGGTGATTTTAAGTTGCTATCAATGCTAGTTTTCTTCAATAGTTAGAATTTCAGCAGTAGAATCAATGTCACCAAAATAGAGGTCAACACCAGCTAGATTTAGCTACTCCTGATGATTATACTACATTCTAATAATTCTCTCATTTTTAGAAACTTGAACTGAGATTCATGCTCATGGCTACTTCATTCCTAATATAGTAACAGAGAGTCAAAGCTGTTTCTCTGCATATTCTGCTCTTGGGCACAAAAACTGGAATAGCAGTGATTCTTATGTGTTTACCTGACATTCTTCCTTTCTGACAAGATTATTAAACTACAAAAACTTGGAATCTTTTGCTCATCACTTTTGGTTCCCATCCAAGATACTCTGAATTTGGAATGCATTTGGAAGCCTTCTGGATCCAGGAGTGAAACCTATATTGATTTGTTTGTTTGAGATTAGAAAGGCTGAGGCTTTAGACTAGCATTGCAACTAATGAATAAACTATTATTTTTTTCTACTGCAAATTAAGAGGACAAATTGTTGCTTGAGATGTTAGGTTCCTTCATAGTCAGCTATTTGGTAGGTTTCTGATTGTCATTTATCTTGCCATTTGATGATGAATGACAAATAGACAACGTATTTTGCTTAAGTTGTGCTCTCTCTCTCTCTCTCTCTCTCTCTCTCTCTCTCACACACACACACACACACACACACACACACACACACACACACACCAACAGCTGTGGAAACATTTTCAAAAGGGTACCCACTGGGAATGCTTTGCCTGCTGTTAAGACCTACTGCTTTCTTTTTCTTTTTTTAAACTTTAAGATGTTGTACATGTTTTAATTCCATATGCCAGTTTATGAATACAATGCATCTTGATCATCATCCTCTCCCATCCCTCCCAACACTATTTTCATTCCTGTGATTTTTGTTAAGGCCTACTTCTAATTGACTAACCATAGCCACTTAGATTAAAAAATTATTCCTTCACAGGACAGCTGGACCAGTTTCCTGCTATATCTATATATCACCAAAGTTTTACTGCTCATTTATGGTAGTTTCACTTTTTAATAAATTTACTTTTTTGTCCTTCCTTATCTAGTATGCAAAAGTCCAATTATATTCTAAATGACCCATGATAGCAAGACAAGATTTGCCAGAATCAGAGGATATAAACCCCTTTTAATGTAGATATTCTATAATTGTTTACCAAATTATCAAATGAATACAAGAATGGATTCTGCCATCTCAGTCCAAAGCAAGACTTTTAGATACTGTTGGACTCAAAGGAGATCAACATGTCTTCTCCATTAGCATCAAATACATTTTCTTTTTCTTTCTTCCTTTCTTCCTTCCTTTTTTCTTTCTTTCTTTTTTTTTTTTTGTCGGTCGTGGGGCTTGAACTCTGGGCTTGAGTGCTGTCCCTCAGCTCTTCAGCTCAAGGCCAGCGCTCTACTGCTTGAGCCACAGTGCCACTTCCAGTTTTAGACTGGTTTATTGGAGATAAGAGTCTCACAGACTTTCCTGCCTGGACTGGCTTTGAACCATGATCCTGAGATCTCAGCCTCCTGAGTAGCTAGGATTACAGGCGTGAGCCATCGGCGCCCAGCCAAATACATTTTCTTTTATTACCCTTGGCTTCAGCCATAGTTACCTACTCCTTACCCCTGAATGCTACTAGTGATCTGAAGGATCAGTGAACGACAGTGGTAACTGTCCTTTAGTATAGGGGCCATTTACAACTCAGCTCTTAGAGTTGTCATACTTCTGCAAGACTCTACCCTGTCCTCTGGCATGCTAGCTTCTGCACCATAAAGTTGGCTGCAGTGTTCAGTCTGTGATGGACTCAGTCTTTTGCTTCAAAATAGAGCCCTAACAGAAGCCAATCTGAGAAAAGTAGACTGGGTGCCCGTGTGCAGTGCGGACACCCTCCTGAACACACTCCACTTATGGATACTGCTGACATGTTCTAGGTGAGAAGGAGCAATTCACAAGAACTCAGTGGTGACACATTAGCAGCTTTTTAGCAAGCTTCTCCTAGTGTTAAAACACTCCATTTAGCAATTCTGAAAATTGGCCCCTACACACTAAAAGCTCAGCATTCTCAAAGCTGTACAAGGGCAGAGGAGAGAAAATGGGAGGGGAAGATGTTGATCAGTTACAAAACATAAAGAGGGAGGGCGCATTTGGGTGTTTTCTTTAACTTCATGATGACTATAAGCCAAAGTTACCCTAGCCTGCCTGCTAGGCTTTGCTTTGAGGAATCTTTCCTGTAATGAGGAATGTCATACCTGAGCACTGGGTTTAATTGTATAAGAAAGCAAAGCAGAGGGGGAAAAGAACAATGCACAAGTGTCCATTTTGGCCTTTAGCCTGTGAAGTCTAACTACTATGCAGCATGGCGTACTTACACTGATGGAGAGCACGGGGCCGGTTTTGAACATGCAATATCTGTCTGTTCCAGCACAGATGTCCTTAATGTCTTCTCCACTTCCTGCCAACCCAAGCTCTTTGTGCATAAACAGTGCAAATGCTTTCATTCTGTTGGGACTTCCCCCGACGCAGACAAACTGTCAACACAAACAAGTACCTGGCCATAGTTACTGGCATACGAACTGAACCTTACTTAGGTTTCAACTCTAATGCTTTTAGTTTATTGTTAATTTCCTTAGGAGTATGTGTGGATGTCATGGGCTATGCGGGTGAATTAACTCATTTCCACCATTACTCTCTAAAAGAGAGCCATCAAATGCACTTTTATGTACTAAATTAGTAAAGAAAAATCACAAAATCAGAGTAAGTGTTGACATTGTTCAAGGAGATGTTTCCTGGTGGTTTTGTTTATAGTAACATCAATCAACATCTTAATTGGTATAATCTGCCTAGGGTTGGGCCTTAACTGGATAGATATTTAGCATGTAAGAATGGAGTATATAGAATGAAGTGCAATAAGGGTAAAGGGAGATCGTTTTACCCATGTTTCCTCATTCCACCACCCTAATCATAAGCCTTTGTTACCAATATACTATGATAACTTAAGGCTTTAAAGGAATTATGTCAAGACTTTCAACTTCTCATTGAGAAAAAAAAATTCTCATGGAACAGATCTTACTGTTAGAAATTTTCAATCTTATTGTAGATTCTCATGTATTCTAGTGATTTATGTTTTCCTTTTATTCACTTTTCAGCCTCTGTGAAGTGGGGGAAGGTATTAGAGTCAATGTGTCACATCTAATAAAATGAAGTAATAAAATCTTCATGTTCCTCTGCAACCTCATGTTAGGAATAGAAAGGAGGATGTCAGGGAGTGAATCGATGTGGACGATTGGGGGCACAAATGAGCAGCCAGCTGAGTGAATATCACCAAGGGTCAGCTGCAGAAAGTCCCAGAACCAGAAGGAAGCAGAGTCCACAGAAGAGATCAGGTAAAAAAGTCACCCAGGAATCTGAGCCCAGCAGAGTGGTACATTGACTGTAAAAAAGCTCCAAAGCAGAGAAGGTGACATTGCTATTGGTCTGCACTTGAGCTGAGGTACGCCTGCCTGGCTTTGAACCTTAACCCATTTCTGATTAAGTAACTGGCTCAAACTCTCTATACATCTCAAACCAAAATAGGAAAGCACAGCAGGCCCTAGAGACTTTTGTCAGGATGAAATGAGATTGCATATGACAAAGGATGCTGTACAGATCCAGCCACCTGCTCAGTGTCCACAAATGGTAACTATTGTTTTCTATATCAAGAAACAATTTCCTGGCCTGCTTTTTGAGCTTGCTTATAGTTTCTGTCTTGTAGAAGCTGATTCAAGTCTTCTAGGAAAGAAAAGGCAGTTGGTGGTGCCTGACTGATGTGGGCAGCATTGGGCAGAGGATCAGAAACAGTGCTGGCCCAGTGCCTTCCATGGATGAAGGAGATCTAAGGAAACAATACCTAGCTGAGGTTGGAGAGCGGGCACTCCATTCACAAAGGATTGACTCTGTTGGGTGGTCTGATTGTATGGTGCATGCCGTTTTCATTTAGCAATAATTCCTGTGCCACATGCACTCATTCTCAATTATGGAATGGAATTATCCTTTTATCCAGGCCTTCTGCTTCTCTTCTACCCTTATTATTGTCTTTTCTGTGACTTCTTAGGCATTTCACTGGTGGAGCCTTCAGCTAGTAATGAACTTTAATGAGCGTCAACCACAAATATTGGGTAGCAAAGATGATAAGGCTATGGTTTAAGCTGAATTTTAAAAAATTGTTATCAACTATTCAAGGATCTTTCTCCTCTGTAGGCATGGAAAATTGAGACTTGGCTCAAGATCTGTGTAAGAAAAGAGCCTTAAAAAACCCTATAGTAGTTTGAAAATAACTTCACTGTGTAGTGCCAGTGAATGTAAATTACAACTGTTCAGATTGACCATAAAACCGAAACAGATGCTAGAATAGCTTGCGGGTTGAGCTCTTCTTTGAAGTGTAGATATTGCTGTAATCACCAGGAATTTCTGCATATTTCTAGAGACATAAAGATGATATGCATGGACAGAAGTAGCTTAGTTTCTTGAAACCTTGCCTCCTAAATGATACTTCCTAAATGTCATCTCTAGACTTGATTTGCAGTTTGGCTACTTTAATGAGACGTAAAATAAAGCTGAAGACCACCAACTAACATTGAACTTCAGTGCCACTTATTTAGGTTCTAAATGAGATATTTATTGTCTTGGTTTTATCAAAGAAGATAAAAAATACATTGGGAGGGCATCAGAGGCATTACAAAACACATGAAGACTGCTAACTGTCAGAATAAATTTTCAAGTACTCCTAATATCTCAAAAGACATAATGTTGCCACATTGTATTAATCAAATACTTAAAAGCAGTTTATGTATTTTGTATGTTAACAATGGAGTTCAAGGCCAGGTGCCAGTGGCTCACATCTGTAATCCTAGCTACTCAGGAGACTCAGATCTGAGGATTGTGGTTCAAAGCTAGCCCAGGCAGGAAAATCAATGAGAATTTTACCTCCAATAAACCACCCCAAAACCAGAAGTGATGCTGTGGCTCAAAGTGGCAGATGCTAGCCTTGAGCAAAAGAGCTCAGGAACAATGCCCAGGCTTTGAGTTTAAGCCCCATGACTGACCAAAACAAAAACGCAAAACAATGGAGTCCAAATACTTCTGAATGCCTATGATAGAGTCATAAAACAATCATTTTCTGTGTTAGGTGAAATTTCTTGAGATAGATTGAAAGGTGCAAGTTAGTGATTTTATAAAAGACAGCTCTAGAAGACATTATAAAAGATATATTTTGATGTTGAGTTTGAAAAATAACTTCTACAGATCATCCACCACATTTCTCAATTGTTTCCTTTTCTCCAGTGAGTGTGGCAGACTCTGATGAGCTATTTATCACAAAGGTTTCTCCTTCTTTCTGAGCTCACTGTTAATCTTAGCTTCCCAGGCTCCTTTCCTCTTAGATGAAGTCGAATACCTATGTTCCAGCCACTAGCATGTGAGCAGAAGTAAAGTAGGCCCTAGCTTATGGAAATAGACACTATGTTAGGATTCTACATACATCTTCATTCATCTTCTGGCTGGGGGTTGACATTCAAGGAAGCTGCCAGGCACTCCTTGAAGGTGACAGAGCAGCAAGATACAAAGAGCTTGGTTCCTTGAGTGTTAGGTTTGAGGAATGTCACCTGTCAGCCAGTAACATGTTGCTTAATGTAAAGCAGTAAACTTGCAATGGTGCTAATCCACTGAGATTTTGCAGTATTGGGTAGCAAAATCTTTGAAAATATAGTAACAATAGGGAGGAAATGCGGGGGGGAGCAGGGGGCGATTCATTGTCTGAGTCTGAAAGTTTTAAACTTTATACTGCTAGACTTCTCTTTTCCTACAAAAATTGTAAACATTATTAATAATGTTGTTAATCATGATCATGATCTTCATGAGAACAAGGCTGAGTTTTCAGGTACTAGCCTATTGTGTTCCCTCTTGTTAGTAAGGATTGCTGCCCTGAGATTGAAGGGAAGTCAAGAAATTGAACCTAGGGGGCTGGGAAGGTGGCTCAGTGGTAGAGCGCTTGCCTTGCATGCATGAAGTCCTGGGTTCAATTCCTCAGCACCACATAAGCAAAAAGAAAAAAGCCGGAAGTAATGCTGTGGCTCACGTGGTAGAGTGCTAGCCTTGAGCTTAAGAGCTGAGGGACAGTGCCCAGGCCTAGAGTTCAGGCCCCACGACCGGACATCCCCTTCCCCCCAAAAGGAAATTGAACCTAGAATCTTCTTATTCAGAAAAAGGCTGTCCCCATGTTGGGTGCTGGTAGTTCACACCTGTAATTCCAGCTACTCAGGAAGATGAGATCTGAAGATCATAGTTTGAAGCCAATCCAGGAAGAAAAGTCTGTGAGGCTCTTATCTCCAAATAAATAAATACCAAAATATAGAAGTCAGAAATGGAGCTGGAGCTCAAATAGTGGAGCCCTAGCCTTGAGCAATAAAGCTCAGAAACAGCTCCCAGTCTCTGAGTTCAAGCCCCAGACTGGCAAAGAAAAATAAAAAAGAGATTGCCCCCTATAGTGGTAGAGGAGAAACAGACATTTAGACATGTAAGTAACAGATCATAACCTGTTTCAAAAACATATTCTGTCTTTTTAATTTATTAACTAGGTGTTTACTTTAGATTTTCAATTATGCTAAACCTTCCAATCATCAGTCATTCCTAGATAAAGATCCAAGGAAAATTATTGTGAGGCATGAACCCCAAACCTAACATTTGAATTCAGGTAAAATCCTACTAATGTGCATCAGAGACAACCTTGATTGCTGGCTCCTTCATATGAACTTCAGAAACAATAGAAAACAGAGAGGTTATATTAAAAAGAGGAAAGAGAAGATGGACAAGGCCACATAAAGGCAAGGAGCAGTGGTCTAGAGGTGAATGGAAAAATGGCACCCCCTCACAGCTTGCTCCTTACAGAGAAGTAAGGAGGAGGAATCCTACTACCTATTGATAGTGGGCAACATTCACCTATTTCCTTCCTTCTTTCTTTCTTCTATCCTCCCTTCCTCCTTCCTCCTTTCCTTCTTCCTGCCTCCTTTCCCTCCCTTCACCTATCTTCACCTCTTATTTCTTGTCCTTTCTTCTACCCTACCTCCATTTCTTCATCATCCTCTTTCTTTACCTCCCCGGTTGCAATTAATATGCTTTTCAGACTTCCTGCAACTCAGAGTACACCTGATAAAAACAAAAAAAAGAGCCTTGGAATTTAGACTTAGAAAAACTTGGTCCACAATCCAGCTCTGCTGTTCTAGTGTAATTTTAGCTTCCATTGACCTCTTTCAATTTATTCTTTGTGACCATTTCTATCAACTCTCCTAAGCCAAAAAAAATGTCAAAAATGCTTAGGAATAAAATTGTCCATTTGAGGCTTTTCGTAACAGAAAATATTTTAACAAAAAATTTAAAATAGGTTAGCTAATTTATGGCACGACTTTATGGCCTCCTTGAACATTGTATTTCAAAGAGAATGTAGTACTATGGGGAAATATTAATAAAATCTAGCTAAATGAAAATACAGGATGCCAAGTTACATTATTACAACTGTCTTAACATTTATCCATTTCAAAGGAATGGAAGAAAAACCTGGGTGGATAGTGTGTAAGTTTAGGTGGTGGACCTGTGATGTATGTCTTTTAAAACTCAATGTTCTTTCATGTATTTTCCTAATTTTATTTTTATTTTTTTACTTCCAAATTTTAAATAATGAACAAGAATTGCTTTTATAATTCATGTAGATATGATAAATAATTAATATAGCAATACTATTTTACTAGAAGTATTCCGTAAATAATTTTCTCATGAAATAACAAAAATCTTAATAATAAAAAATATTTGTTTCTTATTCTTGTTAGTCTTATTGAATTCTAAATGAGAATTAGTGAGGGTCAGCAATAAATAAAGATGTTAAGTTGTAAACTGAATCTCCTAACACATCAGGAATTCTGAGTGCCGAGCAACATTGTCAATAAAATGGTATTTATCTCCAGGGACCAGGGCAGGCAAATAATTGTGTTTGTATTGGATTTAGTTTGGGTGCCTTTATGTCTTGTTGGAGTAGAAATCATTGTTCATGATGATCACGTTCTAAACTGAGAATTTTTGTGACTTTGGCTCTTATTGGGATCTCTGACATTTCTCTCGCTAAGGCTATAAAGCATGTTTGGGAAAATTAAGAAAAATTAACAGAGGGAAAACAATAGTTCTTCTTGAATTTACAAGCAGTTTTACCTTTACATCTCCGAACATTGCTGGCAGGTTGTGTGTTTTTGTTCCTAAGTCCAGGTGGTAGAGAACATCTTCATCCATAGTATCCAGGTAAGGATTTTTAACATTTACAAACCTTTTCCTGGGAAAACACACATACATACACAAATACAGAGGGAGTAAAGGTATTTGGAGAGAAAGTACACAAAAGGTAAAGGCTATTGGATTACACCTGTCACTATTGCTAGCCAAAATATTGGACATAAAAGTTCTTGTCTCCCTGATATGTGGATGCTAAAGCCAAAATGCAAGGAGATATGGCAAAGTAAACAGGACTTGAGAAACAAAGGACTGCCACTCATTTTGGCATATCATTGCTAAATGATTCCATGTTCTTGACCACATATATGGTGTATATATATATATATATATATATATATATATATATATATATATATATATATATATATATACACAAGGGAGGGAAGCTAGGAGGAGGACACAGAATCAGAGGGAATTTTGGGAAAATATACAACAGAGGGGCCATCAGCTGCACCTGACATAGATGAAAATGAACTAAGCAACCCAAAGACAGCTATGGGAAGGGAGGAATGAGAGGGAAAGAAGGAACAGCTTACACTTAGCAAAAGGAAAGAAATGTAAATATCATCTGATGTGAAAGAAATAATTGTATTGTCATAGAATTAATTCTATTGTCGTAGAAATAATTGTATTGTCATAGAATTCACAAACTTTATAGACCATGATAATGACAATTTTCCTTGTGAAGGTTAAAATGTGTTTGTAACTTTAACTAAGTCACAATACTGTGAAATATGTGAAATTTGTGTAATCACCTAATCTCAATTTTTAAAAATTTTTAAAAAGAGAAAAAAACTTCTTGTATCATTAAATGCAGTACAACAATAATAATTGGCTAACATTTGCTGTGCCCTTACTATGGCTCAGACAAAATTCAGCATAAAAATTGAACAATGCATGAAAACTCCATAAAACAAACACTTTAGCTCACTTGAGCTTATAACCACTCTGTTAGATATGTGTTATCAGTCATCTGATTTAAAGTGAGAAACCAAGACTTACAGAAATTTTTCTATATCATGCATCCAAATTTATAGTCCTCTCCATTAAGTTCATACTATCCCTAGAGATCTTTCTCTGAATGGGAAGCTATGTAATATAAGGTACTGGACTCCAGAGTAAAAGGATCCTGTTACCAGTTTAAAGATATATACCTTGGGTACATTATCTTTGGGTTTTTTTTCATTTCTTCATATGTGAAATGGGTATAGTGAATAATTTTAAGCTCATTATGAGCCATGAATCAGATAGTATTTGTAAGGGCTGGTTATTACTCAGTGGTAGAGCATTTGCATTACACACACAGGAGTTGGTTAATAACTTTACACCACTTTAATTATTAATGATAACAAATTATCTGTCTCATACCACAGTGAGTCAGGATGTCTTTCCCAAGAATAATCTGGAACTTCTTCACTCTTTTTCCTCCCAGTGTTCACTTATTAAGTTCCTGCTCATTCTTCAAAGTTCAAGCTATCATCTGTTCTCTGAAGAATTTTCCAAGGATAGTCCCTCCCCATTCACTATTCTTTTCCCCTTACTATGTTTCTAAAGAATTTGTCTCATAGCAATGCCATTAAATAACATTTCACATTGTCATAGAGTTCATTGCTATCTCCCAGAGAGATGATAAATTCCCTGTGCAAGCTGTCTCTTACATCTTTCTTTAATCCCTAAATTTTAACAAATTCTATTTGTTAATGTAGATTTGACTGTTCAAATTGTGGAAAAATACTATTAATTTCCCCATCAAAAACAATAGATAGGACAGATTCTTACTCAGAGTCTTAGAGAATAGATTCTTAGATTCTCAGAGTTAGGTTCTTGGAGAATGCTCAAACCAGCACGGTTGTGGATTATATTCTCTTATATTGATTCAGATAAGTGAATATAAAGTGAATATGAGTGAATATAAAGTGAGTATAAATGTGTCTGTTATGGAAAACAGTACAAAGACTCCTCAAAAAACTAAAAGTAGGACTACCTTATGATCCTAAAATCCTTCTTCTTAGTGTGTATCAAAGGGAATTAAAATCAATATGTGAAAGATATATCTGCATTACTATGCTCATTTATGTATTATTGACTATAACTTAAAATATCCAATCAACCTGAGTTTACTTAAATAGGCAAATATAGAAATTATGGCATATATGATGAATGGAATACTTTTCAGTGTTTTTTAAAGAAAATTTGGTCATAGATAATAACATGAATGGAACTACAAAAAAGTATGCTAAGTATAATATTCCAGGCCAAAAAGACAAATACTATGTATGTTCTCTTATATATGGGATGGGGGAGGAGAAACAGAGAGGAGGGGTGATTGCCAGAGACTAGAAGCTGGGGGAGGGAAAAACAAAAGGAAGATGTCTGATTAAGTCTCATTAGATCAGAGGAATAAGTTTCAGTGATCTACCACTTCATAGTAACCACTGACAATAATAACATGAATTTTTATTTTTAACATTTTCAGGACAAAAAAAACTAGAATTAAGGGAGATGGTGTAGATGTTAACTAACAATTGAATTTTACTACAATATATACATAGATAAATACCTCACTTTGAGCTGGGATGTAGCTCAGTTGTAGAATACTTACCTAGTATGCATAAGACACCCTATATAGTAATACACACACACACACACACACACACACACACACACACACACACACACATACTGGTCTACAATGTGTGCAAACATGCATATATACCTCGTATTGTACCCCATAATTATACACAATTATCATTTGTAAATCAAATATAAATAAATAAAAACAATTACAATTTTATACTTTTAAAAAGAAAATTTTAATTGGGATTTTATACCAAATTCAACCCAGTATAATCTGTCTGCTACAATAATTTTATCTTTCTAAAATACCTAATTGCTACTAAATAAGGTTGAAGCAACTACCTCTTCCTCAAACTTTTGTTACATTTTTGTATCATTAAATGAAATACAACAATAATAATTGGCTAACATTTGCTGTGCCCTTACTATGTCCCAGACAAAATTCAGCATAAAAACTGTACAATGCATGAAAACTCCATAAAACAAACACTTCAGCTCACTTGATCTTATAACCATTCTGTTAGATAAGTGATGTGGCATCAAATTTGGGGTGTTTTGTTTTAATTTTTTAATCCATGATGTTACATAACATGAGCAGTATTAAATATTGGTCATGAAAGAAAATGGCCACTCTGGGAAGAACTTTCTTCAGCACCTTTGCATTGTCTTCATGGTCTCTGTCTGTCTATCTGTCTGTCTGTCTGTCTGTCTGTCTGTCTGTCTGTCTCTGTCTTCTTTGATTTGTCTCTCTCTTCCTGTCTCTATATTCTCTCCTTCCCTCTCTCCTTCTCTCTCTTTCTCTTTGTCTGTGTGTCTCTCTGTGTCTCTGCCTCTGTCTCTCTCCCTCTCCCTCTCTCTCTCTTTTTCCTTGGATTCCCTGAAGGGATGAAGATGGCAGGATACACACTGTTTGGCGTGGATAAGTGGAGCATTTTGTAAAATGCTGACATGGTGGCAAGACATTTCACATAACACTAAGCAAATCAGGGGGAACTCACAGAAAATCCTTAAGCCTCATAAAGATTAATGCTCTATTATGTTCTGTTAACCTGAGGCAGAAATTGGAGCTAACTGCACAAGCAGCTTCAGCAGATTTATGTCTACCCCCGAGATGAATAACATCCACAGTATTTCAGAAATGAATTCTATGTGAAGTCCACCACAAAGTGTATGAAATCATTTCATAATGCTCTACAACACAGCTGAGTCTGCCTTAGGCTTGGGAAGGCCCCTTTAATTATTTCTCAGATACACCCCATGGACATGGAACTAAAGGTTGTACTTCATAGTTAATTCAAGCTGAACTTTGAGTTTGTGTTCACTCCTGCACGTTGGTTATAAACTTTTGCGTGTTTTTGGTAACTTCTTTTGCCCCTTTTCCAACCCTCCCCCCCAACCCCATACCAAACCAAGAACCAAGCAATGAAAATGTCAGGAAGCAATTTTGCATTGTTCTTTAATTTGTATTTTGAACTATATTTCAACTATATTATGATTAAGCCTAAGAAATTTTTGTTACTATCTGAGCATCTCATATAAAATCCAAGAAACGTTCCTCTTATCAAAAATAAAAAGATAACAAAACAGAAAGCCCAAAACCAAAAAAAAAAATGAAAACTACTCACCCATTGTATGCATTCTTGTCAGGTATCATGGATCTCTTGGAGGCAGGTAAAATGGAAGCCATGCTGATATTAGGAAAGTGAAATATTGGAATTTGTTATCAAATTATAGATATAGTCACAACAATTCGGCTCAATGTTAGAACAGTCCTCTCCCCTAAGACTCGTATTTTCTTGTGAAATTATGAATGGAATTCTTGCCTTAGCACTTTAAACAATCTGGTCAAATTAAAATATTGTCCCTAGCATGTCCTTTTATACTACATGAACCTCTGTAAGCATCATTCCCCAAGAAGATAGGCTCTCTTCGAAGGTGTGGCATCCTATCTCTTTGACCAGATTGGTTAACTTGTTAACTGATTATTAGAGCACTTTCCCCTTCCATCTGACTTTGGTCCCAATGTGGGCATGTCCTCTCTCACTTTCCACACGAGCCTCATCAAAATATCTCAAAAAATGTGTCCAGGACATGTGAGAACTTTCTGTTCTCAAACATTTCATTTTCATGTCCCTTCCCACACTCTGTCCACTTGATTTCTTTCTCTCTCCCTCTTTGTCTTTTGTCATCACAAATGAGAAAAACAGCCAAGCTCTGGACCTCAGAGTGCCCCTTCTTCTGAACTTTGCCCATTTCAGTGAACTCAAATGGTCTGATAGCTAAACAAAGCTTGTTTTCCAGGGTCTCTTGAGCTAGTTAAGTGCTAGGTTGCCTCTAAAATCTACTAAACTATGTGCTGGAGTGTCAACCCAGGCAAAATAATGAATTGCGACCTAGCATCTTAAGGAAAGAATCTCTGTGAAGAGATCTGCAGATTTTCACTTTTCATGTGATGGAGCTGCATATGGAAGACAATAGAAGAACTTCATCCTCATCCTTTTTTCTCTTGGCCTCCATGGTAATCAGCTCAAGTTTTATGCTGGTGAGAGCTTCATGAGCTTAGTGTCACGACTTTCAAGAAAATTTGAAGCTAAAATGTTCACAAGTACCAAACAGAAGCAGACATAAGACATTTCACTGTACGTGGATTTTTCTTCAAGAATGTATTAATTGAGATATTCAGAAGGCTGAGATCCGAGGAGTTGGGTGGAAAGCCAACCCAGGCAGACAAACCAGAGAGATTCTGAGCTCCAGTTAACTAGCAAGAAGCTAGAAATGGAGATGAGTGATAGTCAGCCTTGAATGAAAACGACAAGTGAAAACACCCAGGCCCTGAATTTAAGCCCCAGTGCATGCCCACGCGGACAACCCCCTCCCAAGATTATACGTAACAGTCAGCAACCACCTGCCTATCTCTTCCAGAGTTCCCCTATTATAAGTTACTTCTCTTTCGTTGGTAATTATTCCGAGAAAACTCCACTAATTTCATTCTGACCTCTTTAAATCCATTATGGCCAGATAGCAGTTTTCAGAATGAAAAAGAAAGAGAATAGGGAAGTCTAAGTTGGAAATGATCAATATAACCTGAATCTTTCTGCAGCTACTACCAAATAGACATTTGTATTTTGCCCAAGATATTCAAAGATCATGGACAAAACTTATCCTAGAAAACTGGAGGCAAAATAAGCCTGAATGTGCACATTGCTTTGGGGAACAGTGGTTTTTGTTTGTTGTTAATAATGATATGGATGTTTCTTCACTTCTTGAGCCATTCAAGCTGGTCTACCTCCTGCCCTTTTCCAATAACCACTAGCATTTTGAAATTCCCATACCTACTGGCCCCTGGGCCTGTCCTGCTTCTATTTTGGCATTTCATACACGTCTCCATTTATCTTCAGGGAGTAATGAGGAAGACCACCAAATTCCAATTTGGCATTTACTGCTGCCTCTGACAGATGAAAGTGATAGCTAATTGGGTAAGTGTTAGGTAATTAATAACTCTAATGATTTAATTAGACTAATTAACATGCCTGCTTCCAATACAGACTCTGTCTCCAATGACTTTGGTCACTAATGGTGCCAGGTAAGAGCAGCTAAGATGTCTGGACTCCATGTCACATGCCCCTTATGGAGCATATAGTCTTCATTTGGGAGAAGGAAGACTAGTTTGTAGAATCTATGAATGGAGAGTACTTGTTACTGTCTTCTGGGCAATCTGAATTACCCTCTCCAGTATTCAGTCTTCTGAAGCTGCCATCCTACTTTTATAGTACATTGTTTTTTGGGGGGTTGTTTGTTGTTGTTTTACCAGTTTTGTTTTTGTTTGTAGATTGCCTGTACCTCAAAAAGGTCCATGCCCCTACCAAACATTAGGAAACTGTTTTGCTTTTTACAGGCATGCATGTGGAGTGCCCCAGGGCAACTCAGGTTCTGCTGCTGGGTGCTTTGTAAACAAGGGCTGGGTGCCAGCAGAGCCCTGTGACACATTACAGCCAGTGGTCTGAGATGAGAGCCTGTGCCAGCTCCAACCCTCCCCTTACCCTCTGCTCTGCAGGATCTATGCCTCATAGCATCCAAGCCCCTGATGAAATGCTTCATCCTCTACCAGCTTTGTCATTTTCTTTTTCTCACTCCTACGACAGTTTGCTATCTCCCTTAATTCTGCCTCTGCACCTCCACTCCAGCTAGATGACTTTAGACTTCTCCCAGTTGCTATGATTTCTGCTGAGTATGGGAGACTAACATGTGTGAACTTAGAACCGTAACCACCCCCTAAAACTGGAAGGGCCACAGCTGGGAACTTGGAGCTCCCAGAACCTTACACAAGGGCCTGGGCATCTACCCATGCCAGACACTGCTTAATCTTGAGACTGTAGAGAGGAAGAGGATGATGTCTGCCCTAAAGGATCTTGCACACTACTGGGATAGGGGTGAGAGTGAAAATGGATGACAGCCACTGTGAAAACAAAGAGGAGAGACACCAAAGCCAGATGTGGGGTGCAGGAAGTTTCTGGGAAGTGTGATGCCTGGGTTGTTGTTGCTGCTGCTGTTTCTCCTCCCCCCCCTCCCCCTCCCCCTTCTCCTTTTCCTCCCTCTCCTTCTCCTCTCTCCTCTTTCTGTCCCTCCTCCTCCTCACTCTCATCCTCTCTCCCCTCCTTCACCTACCTTTCCTCTTCCCCTCTCTTCCCCCCCTCCTCCTCCCCTTCTCTTCCTCTTCCCTCTACTCCTCCTCCTCCCCCTTCTTCCTCTTCTCCTCCTCCCCTTCTTCCTCCTCCTCTTCCTCCCCCTTCTCTTCCTCCTTCTCCTCCTTCTCCTTCTTCTTTGGTTGTAAGGAGGGTTGACCCTAGGACACTTGTTTTCATTTTATTTTGTTTTTGAGATAGAGTTTTGCTAACTTGTCCCTGGAGGACCTTGAATTCTGAATTCTCCTGTCTCTGTATCCTGGGAGATGAGATTGTAAGTGTGGCCAACCATAATTCCTTTGCCTAGCACAAGGATGGCAAGAGTATGGGGGACTCTGCACTGGCTCAGGGAGCATAGAGAAAAACACAGAGAGGTGAGAGAGGTGATAGAAAGTATCTTCACAGTTAGGTAGTAAGTAACTCTATATGTTTCTTTCCCCAAGTGATTCCATCAGAACATCACAGCTGGAGCTGAGGTGGCTTTCAGTTTTTGAGATTCTTGACACTTAAAAAAATAACACGTTTATTTATTGGGCAGTTGTTTCTTTGAGGATTTGTTGTTGGGGGATTTAATTTTTTGAGTTTCAGGTATATTTTAGATATGAGACCCTTAGGGGCTGGGGGTTTAGCCCAGCAGAAGGGCGCCCACCCGGTGCGCGCAAGGCCCTGGGTTCAGTCCTCAGCCCTGGAAAAAAAAAGCTACAATAGATGTGAGACCCTTGACCATTGTATGATTGGTGAAGATCTTCTCACAATCCATGATCTTGCTAGCTATGTCGTTTGCCATGCAGAAGCTCTGCACTTTCAAGCAATCCCATTTGTCCAACCTTTCTTTGATTTGTTGTATTTCTGGGTCTCTATTAAGAAAATTTCGCCTGTACCAAGAAGACCTAGGGTTTCCATCCTGTAATGTTTTCGGAGTGTCTGCTTTGACTCCGAGGTCTTTGATGAGAAACTTCTCTGAAGAGGAAAGGATGGCCAATAGACACATGAAGAAATGTTCAACCTCTCTAGCCAGAAAAGAAATGTAAATCAAAACAACATTGAGATACCACCTCACCCCAGTTAGAATGGCTATAATCAAGAACTCTAATAGCAACAGATGCTGGAGGGGATGTGGACAGAAGGGAACCTTACTGCATTGTTGGTGGGAATGTAAACTTGTTCAACCACTTTGGAAAGCAGTATGGAGGTTCTTAAAAAAACTCCACATAGAGCTCCCCTATGACCCAACAAATCCCACTTTGGGGCATTTACCCAAATGATCACAAACAAAAAAACCATACTAAAGCTATCAGCACAACTTTGTTTATTGCAGCATTATTTACCATATGGAACCAATATGGAACCAATCCAGATGCCCCTCAGTAGATGAATGGATCAAGAAAATGTGGTATATATACACAATAGAATTCTATGCTTCCATCAGAAAGAATGACATTGTCCATTTGTTAAGAAATGGAAAGACTTGGAAAAAAATTATGTTAAGTGAAATAAGCCTGGCCCAAAGAAACGTAGGTCCCATGGTTTCCCTTATTTGCAATAACTAGTATATGTCTGAGACAAGCAGAAACGGTCAGATAAGTTGATGTTAGGTGAAATGAATCCCAAGATAAGTATTCAAATGGTTTTTTCTTTCTTGCGATTGTTTCTAACATATTTATAAGATGATTTCTTTGTTGCTTTGTATGTCTCTCCCCCACAGTATAACCCCTGCTTTCACTGTATTTGATGTTGGTATAATTTGTGGAGGGGAAGGAAAAAACAAGCTGTTTAAATAGCAATGCAGGTGGACCCATTGCAAAATAAGATGTACAAGACGTTATGTTGAAAAATAAACTTTACAACTTTGGCCATGGGGACGGGTAAGGGGGGTGGGAGATGAGAAGGGATGGGAAGGGGAAACAAAGGAGGAGGCAACAATGCTTGATAAGAAATGTACTCGTTATCTTGCCCATGTAATTGTAACCCCTCTGTATGGTATTTTCACAATAAAAAAATAACATACTTAAAGTATTTACACATAAAGTAACTTAACACTGACTCTTTTAATAATGAAATTTAACTCTGCCATGCACAAGACATTGCTGGGTTGATAAAAAAAATCACATAGTAAACCCAAGTTTAAAGATGCCTTAATTATCCCCATATTTTAGCTTAATCAATAAATATATGCATATATGCCAGATGCTTGTCA